CAGGGAAGAGCAGGGGGAGAAGGAAACGGCCGCTTGAGGCAGAGGAGGGAGTTCAATAGGGGACGCTCGGATAGGGGGAGGGCGTGACTGATAGCAAGCTGCGCAACGGCGTCGAGTGACTCCCAGATAGAGCAGGCGAGCTCAGCAGCGGCAAAGGCCTCACGCTCAGCGGTTGTGGGGGCGTCTGTAAGGGCAGCAGGCGGGTGGGGGCAAGGGAGCTTACCGTCGACGTGGACGGTCAGGGACTGGCCGTCTTGGCGCTGACCCTTCAGCTGGTGGCGGAGGTTGGCAAGCCATGACTCAAAGTCGACGGCCCGACCCTCCGCGTCCAGGCAGAGCATAGTGTCCGCCATCACCACCGCATCGGCAGCACGGTGGCACGACAGCACGGTGACACGACGGCACGGCGATACGACAACACGGTGACACAACGGCACGGCGATACGACAACACGGTGACACAACGGCACGGCGGCACAGCGGCATGCCAGCAGGACGGCACAGCGGCACGGCTGCACAACGACACGGCGACTCCGCAGCACGGCGAGCTGGGACGGCGCAGCTTGGCAAGCAGAGTCCGGCGGCGGAGCGGTGGCGCGCAGGGTCGGTAGGAGTTGGGGCCGGCGGTAGCTGTGGCCGGCGTAAACTGGGGCGGGCTCGAAATGGGGCCGGCTCGAACTTGGGCCGGCAGGAGCTGGGGCCGGCGTGAACTGGGGCCAGCTCGAACTGGGGCCGCCGAGCTGGGGCCTACGAGCTAGGAGGCGGCGAGAGAGCGTGGGCTGGCGAGCGAGGGCCGGCGAGCGCGGTAGGGGCGGCGAGCTAGGGCCGGCAAGCGAGAACTGGCGCGCGAGGGCCGGCGAGCTTGGGCCGACGAGCTGGGGCCAACGTGCTGTAGCTCGCACGGCGAGCGAAGGGCCCGTGGGCGAGGAGCCAGCGGGCGAGGGCTCGCGCGGCTCGCGCAAGAGCCAGCGGCGAGCTTGGGGCCAGCGAGCGAGGACTTGCGCGATGCACGAAGGGGCCAGCGGCGAGCTAGGGGCCAGCAGGCTAGGGGTCGCGCGGCGCGCGACGCGCCAGCGACGAGCTAGGGGCCAACGGACACGATAGGGCGGGCGCTAATGTGGCGCGACGGAGCGGGGGGCCGTGGCGAGCAAGGGCCACGTGGCGGACGGGACCAACGCGGCGTGACGGGGCAGCCTGGCGCAGCTGACTAGGGCGGCGCAGCGTGGCAGACTAGGGCGGTGCTGTACGGCGAGGTAGGTCGAGGTAGGCTGCGGTAGGCTAGGGCGGAAGCGCGGGTGGGTGGGACCTACCTAGCGTGATACCATCCCAGAGTAGCAAAGTTAACTAAGCAAGGGCATACAAGGTGATATATGAGTTGTGGATTGTACTCCCTAGGAGCACGTACCAGTTAAGCCTATAACTAGACATACGTTACAAATGTATAAGTTGACAAATCCGCCACCGCACCCTCCTTATTCAACCGATTTTGGTCGATTGCGTGGATCGATACCAGTACTCGATAAGGGTCATAAGTGATGAGCGAGCAGATTCCATCAGTAGTAGGCCCGTTAACTACTGATGCTAAGCGTTTCCTTGTTCGCTGGAACTCCGCTGCCCCTTATTCCGCTTCTTCCACTCCTCTGGGCATTCTGACTTGCGGTGTCCCGGCCTGTTACACCCGAAACAGCGACCATTGAAGGCTGTAATTGCTAAGTTCGATGTTGTAACAGCGTGTACAGTGGCACGCTCGATCGGTCCCCGAATGCGATTTCCGTCATAGGAACCTGCCCTTGGTCTGTATAATGAATCCAACCGCTGTGCAACCCTCAGCGCCTCCATCAAATCTGTAATTTCCCAGACTTGTATTTCTCTGCGCATATCCGGTCGAAGTCCCCCGATTAATTTATCGAACTTCTCGTTCGGGTGAATGTAGCCGGCCTGGTCGCATAGATTCTTGAAGTCGCAAGTAAAGTCCTGAACTGATCCGAATTGGCGCTACGTGCGGATGTGGTCGCGCGCTTGACTGCTTGCAAGAACGTGTTCGAAGTGGCTACGACGCGCACCACGATTGCCATATGATGTACTCGTATACCTCGCAATAACTTCCAGCCCAGTGATTGGTCGTGCGAAAACGCCCGATTACGCGCGGCGTCGTATCCGGCTCCTGCGACTGAATTATCTGCTGCCACCAAACCATAGTTGGTCCACGTAGGAGCGACACAACTTGCCGGATATTCTGGGCGTTGTCGCTGACGAGGTTGCTGTCTTAAAAAACATTCATCTGAAAAATCTACTCGCTGACGGACAAATTGCAATGCTGGCTCGGATCAAACGTGAGTGGCCTTTGCGTCTTGAGAATTCCTGGTGCCATGCTGATGTTGGCAGTTTGCAGGCCGGTCGGCAAGGTAACTAGGGGCGACAAGTTTACGTTCGTCCTTTCGCCAACTTCCGCTCGTCCAAAAGTTGGTGGCAGGTTCTATGTCGAACCCTCGGGCGAAGTCGCATGTGCTCGCTGGTTGTTGCCAGATATTTCGGAACGCTGCTGAGTTACTTGTTCCTGTTATCCTTGATTTGTCGTTGGTGCGGTGTGTTGTGTTGTGTCTGCTATTGTTGGCTCCGAAGTGCGGATATCTCAGATTCGGCTTGGGTCGTTTCAGCTCGCAGACGGGCCAACTCCTGCTGGTACAACACGTGAGTGAGACGGACTTCGTCAAGTATTGCCACCCTTTTTCTCACGAGTCATATTGGTACAGTGGCGGAAACAATTGTCCACATGTTTAGCATATTTTCACATTTTGACGAGCTGTACGCTATAAACATTAAGCCTTAATTCATGGTGGCCATACACGTAGAGAAGAGCAGTTAGAGCACTCACTCAAATCTCCTAAAACCAGAGTAGTATATTTTATGGTCCTTCAAGACGACAACATTTAATAACAGCACATCCGGACAATTTGTACCGGGGACAGGCAGCAAACTAGTTACTAGCAAAACTAGTACCTAGTCAACCGACACTTGGCCTTGATCACCACCTACACCCTCCTAGGCATGTTATCTACGAGGTTAGTGCAAACCTTTACAGGGATCTTCTCGCACTCTTCCTGGACCCACGCTTTTGCATAAGGGGGTGAGCACTAGGAAAATCGCGAAGTATTTGAACGTATGCAAGAGTACTGTGCACGATTTCATGTTGAATGTTATCTCTAAGACTAGCCATGCTAAGGTGTGGCCAAAGATGCCATTAGTCGATTGGTCTCGTCTTATCATGGATCATCTTCATCGCACCGTTGTAGGTAAAAATTACGAGCAGAGTGGCGAAACATTGCGTATCTGCCACGAAACTTAGGGTAACATAGCACGGTTGACAGTGCATCCTTGCACTATTAGAATCACGCTAGGATCCGTAGGTCTCTGAGCGGTGCAGCAGTCGAAGAAGTCGTGACTGGTGGGGAAAAATATCCGGGTTCAGGTCTGGTGAGGAAGAGGGTCACTCCAGTGCTATAAACTCATGCTCTCCAAGCCATTCCAAGCCTAGGCGGGACACATGGCTTAGAATGGCTTAGAGAACACGAGTATGTTACGCTGGAGTGACCCTTTTCCTCACCAGATCTCAACCGGGCTATTTTTCCCCACCAGTCACGACTACTTCGACTGCTGCACCGCTCAGAGACATACGGATCCTAGCATGATTCTAATAGTGCAATGATGCACTGTCAACCGTGCTATGTTACCCTAAGTTTCGTGGCAGATACGCAATTTTTCGCCACTCTGCTCGTAATTTTTACCTACAACGGTGCGATGAAGATGATCCATGATAAGACGAGACCAGTCGACTAATGGCATCTTTGGCCACACCTCAGCATGGCTAGTCTTAGAGATAACATTCAACATGAAATCATTCACAGTACTCTTGCATACGTTCAAATACTTCGCGATTTTCCTAGTGCTCACCCCCTTATGCAAAAGCGTGGGTCCAGGAAGAGTGCGAGAAGATCCCTGTAAAGGTTTGCACTAACCTCGTAGATAACATGCCTAGGAGGGTGTAGGTGGTGATCAAGGCCAAGTGTCGGTTAACTAGGTACTAGTTTTGCTAGTAACTAGTTTGCTGCCTATCCCCGGTACAAATTGTCCGGATGTGCTGTTATTAAATGTTGCCGTCTTGAAGGACCATGAAATATACTACTCTGGTTTTAGGAGATGTGAATGAGTGCTCTAACTGCTCCTCTCTATGTGTATGGCCACCATGAATTAAGGCTTAATGTTTATAGCGTACAGCTCGTCAAAATGTGAAAATATGCTAAACATGTGGACAATTGTTTCCGCCACTGTATATCCCAACGGATCCACCATTTCGCGGAAGTTTTGGGCGGCTATTGGCACGCTAACAGTGTGAACACAGTCGTGGCTGTAAGTAATTATCTACTAATATTACCAGGACAGCGGATATGCAATAAGCACAGGGCGCCAGCCTCCGTAAGTATCGGTATTGCAGTGGAACTAGAGCGCAAGGCTGAGGATCGTTGGCTATGATGGCCAGGTGTAATAAAGCGTAAAGAGCGTGTGTCGAAGGATTGATTAACGAGGAAACAATACAACTGAGGCAACAACAAAACAGCGTAAAATGGCACGAAGCGCCCAGATCTAGGCATGCAATAGCAAAGTGGGCAACAATGTATGCGGCTCGTCAGGAGATCACGCTTGGGACCGCGATTTGAATTTCGTGGCAGAACTACGCAACAACCCCGTTATAGGAGTGTACTGCCTTACTCACTAAAACCCGTGATAAGGAAATACCATTTCATTACAAAAATAACACACCTCCCCCCGGCTGAATGCAGCTGTGGCGGACCTCGGCAATCCCTGGAATCTGGGAGCTTCTCTGAGCGAGCCCACACTCGGAGGAGCCACACGCAATGGACAACTGCAGCCAATCCGATGAGCCCTGTGTTCAACCTCCTTGCCTGCGTTTGTCGAATTTCAACGACCTCGCCACTCGCACTCGCGTCTCCCCCGCCAGATCGTCATTCTCGCAGCTCGTTTCGTTTTCGCTCGTCCGACGCCGCTGGTGGCGCTCCAGGCCGCCTGGCGACCTCCCTTTTCGCGCCCGGCATCCGTCGGAAGTGTTCTCTCTTTCGCTCCAACTGTCGCTAGTGTTTTCTCTTTTGGTTAGCAAGCACCATCTGACGACGACACTCGAGGTTCTTAGCTAACCTATACCCGAGGCGAGCCGGTTCATGAGACGCTTCGTTGTTCGCGTTAGCCTCTTTGCGACGCTTCAATAGTCGTCGCACGGCGATGGACGGCCGAGGCGAGTCGCAGCGAGGCAGTCACGCGCCCAGCCGTCGCAGGAGCTTCGACGACATCGTTCGCGAGCAGGCGACGGCGCCCAGGGCTGCACCTGCTGCCGGCTCCGATGCCGGCCTGCGACGGCGACAGATAGGCCGACAGTCGCAGCAATCGCAACAGCCGTCGCAGCAATCGCAACAGCCGTCGCAGCAGCAGCAGCAGCCACCGCAGCGTCAACAACAGCCTGCCTCCAAACGACCGGACAGAAAGGGCGGAGAGAAGGGCGAGAAGGGCGGTGAGGGCGGTGCGTTTGAGAGGAGCGAAAGCGGGCGGGGGGGCAAGGGCGGGCGGTGGGGGTGCGTGGACTCGTGCTGCTGGGCCATGGGCAACGCCTTCTTCCTCTGGTTCCTTCTCATGGCCGCCTACCACCTCATGCCACGTCAGCAGATCCAGGCCATCCAGGACGCGCTCGTGGGGATGCCCGAGGTAGAGCCGCCGGGGGAGAGGCTGGCGGGGGAAGGGGTGAAAGCCAAGCACCCCGTGGTGTTCGTTCCGGGGATAGTCACAGGTGCGTGCAGACAGGGATGGGTGTCGTCGTAGGTCGTGTCATGCTATATGCAACCAAAGACGCGCTCGTGGGGATGCCTGAGGCGGAGCCGCCCGGGGAGAGGCTGGCGGGGGAAGGGGTGAGGGCGAAATACCCAGTGGTGTTCGCTCCGGGCATAGTCCCAGGTGGGTGTGGTCAAGGGTGGGTGTAGTCAGAATTCGCTATCTGTACTTCTCAGTGATCAACTCTGGGTGGAAAGCGACACGAGTGACAGGTGCTCGCAGAAGGCTCTGCCGCACATCAGTGCGCGTAGGTTCTGGGTGGGGGTTGGGCCTTTTCATGGCTCCTTAGGCAAGGCTAAGTGCGAGCTGTAGGGTCAGCGACGTCTAGGGTTTCCAGGAGCAATGCACTCTTCTCGTTCCGTCTTTGCGTGTGATGCCTCCCTCCGCTCCCCCAATTTCTGACGTCCGCGCGTCTCTCGCCCATCCCTGGTCCCCTCATTGCCTTTCTCGGTTTCCTCCTCTCTCCTTCCCCTCCCCCCTCCCACCACGGTCCTGCTTTCCCCCCCCCCCTCCTCAACTTTCTCACCTCTCAGGCGGGTTGGAGCTGTGGGAGGGCCGTCCGTGCGCTGCTGACCTCTTTAGAAAGAGACTGTGGGGAGGAACCTTCGGAGATGCTTACAGAAGGTGAGTTGGTGCGTGGGTTGGTGCGTGAGCCGTGGAAATTGGAAATTTGACGGAGGATGGGGAGGGGACGGGTGGCGGCAGGGGGGGGGATGGGAGGAAAGGGGAGGGAGGGGAGGGGGGCGGGGTGGAGGGGTTGGGATGAACAGAGGGGAGGATTGGTTTTCACGAGAGCGCGTTTGGTTTTGACGCGAGCGCGTTTGGTTTTGACGCGAGAGCTCTCGCCCTCTTCATGTGTTTCCCTCGCACCCCGCCAAACCCCTTCGTCCGCCCACTCATCTGGCCCGACTGTAGGTTAGGGAGCACATGCTGCCGGACAACGAGACGGGCTTGGGCCCGCCGGGTACTAGAAGTAGCCTGGTAGCCGCGGATCACCTCATGCCGGGCTACTTTGTGCAACCTCTCCCCCCCTGCCTTCTCCGTGCAACCTCTCCCCTCCCTCCCTGCCTTCTCCGCGCCACCCACCCCCACTCTGCAGGCCCGGCTGCTGGATGGAGCACATGCTGCTGGACAACGAGACGGGGCTGGACCCTCCAGGGATCAGAGTGCGTCCTGTGTCCGGGCTGGTAGCGGCGGACTACTTCCTGCCAGGGTACTTTGTGTGGGCGGTGATCATCGAGCAGCTCGCCAAGATCGGCTACGACGAGAGGAACCTCTTCATGGCCGCCTATGACTGGCGCCTGTCGTTCCAGAACACACAGGTGCGGGGAACACTCGGTGTGTGTGGGGGGGGGGGGGTTGTGGGGAAGGGGGGAGGGGGGTGGAAGGGATGGGCGCTAGTCTGTGAGGGCGGTGAGCATGGAGCAGAGGGGAGGAACGTCTCGATGGCCTCCTACGAGGCTACGACTGGCGGCTGTTGTTCAAAACACATAGGTGAGGGCGGCAAAGGGTGTTGGGGGTGTGGTGCGTGCATGCGCGTGCGTGCCTGTGGGCGGGCAGGCAAGGGAAAGGGGGGTTGGTGGGGGTGAGGGGGTTGTGTGTGTGTGTGTGTGTGTGTGTGTGTGTGTGTGTGTGTGTGTGTGTGTGTGTGTGTTGAAGGGGAGGGGTGTGAGGATCTGTTATTGTGAATTTCGTTGACTTGGTTTCTTCCTAAATGTTCCCTCCCGCCCTCCCTCCCTCCCGCCCTCCCTCCTCCCTCCCGCCCTCCCTCCCTCCCTCCCTCCCGCCCTCCCTCCCTCCCTCCCTCCCGCCCTCCCTCCCTCCCTCCCTCCCTCCCTACCTCCCTCCGCCCTCCGTCCCTCCCTCCCTCCCTCCCTCCCTCCCTCCCTCCTCCCTCCCTCCCTCCCTCCCTCCCTCCCCCCCTCCCTCCCTCCGTCCCTCCCTCCCTCCCTCCCGCCCTCCCTCCTTCCCTCCCTCCCGCCCTCCCTCCCTCCCTCTCTCCCTCCCTCCCTCCCGCCCTCCCTCCCTCCCGCCCTCCCTCCCTCCCTCCCTCCCTCTCTCCCTCCCTCCCTCCCTCCCTCCCTCCCTCCCGCCCTCCCTCCCTCCCTCCCTCCGTCCCTCCCTCCCTCCCTCCGTCCCTCCCTCCCTCCCTCCCTCCCTCCCTCTCTCCCTCCCTCCCTCCCTCCCTCCCGCCCTCCCTCCCTCCCGCCCTCCCTCCCTCCCTCCCTCCCTCCCTCCCTCCCTCCCTCCCTCCCCACCTCCCTCCGCCCTCCGTCCCTCCCTCCCTCCCGCCCTCCGTCCCTCCCTCCCTCCCTCCCTCCCTCCCTCCCTCCCTCCCGCCCTCCCTCCCTCCCTCCCTCCCTCCCTCCCTCCCTCCCTCCCTCCCTAACCTTGCTTCTCTTGCCCCTCTCACTCTGACGCATTCGTTCCGCGTGCGCCTCACTCGCCCCGCTTACCCGTGTGTCCCACCATTTGCAGAAGAGGGATCAGATGCTGAGTCGTCTCAAGGCCACCATCGAGATGCTCGTGCAGGTATGGCATGCACCACGTGGGGGACAATGCGGTGAGGAATTTGGTCAGGGATGGATCAGGTGGCATGCAATGTGCCATCGCATGTCAATGTGCCATCGCATGTCAATGTGCCATCGCATGTCAATGTGCCATCGCATGTCAATGTGCCATCGCATGTCAATGTGCCATCGCATGTCAATGTGCCATCGCATGCAATGTGCCATCGCATGTCAATGTGCCATCGCATGTCAATGTGCCATCGCATGTCTGGTTTTAAATGTACCCGTACCATTGCACATTTTTTAGCATCCCAGCCCAACCCTATTCCTTGCGTTCTCCTGCCATCCCATCCCCTTTCCCCTCACGCCTTTCACTTCTCCGTGTAATGTGTTCATCCATTTCATGGCGACTCATCTTCCCTTGCGCTTGTGCCCGCTGCTCAACGCCTCTCGCTCACATGCCTCTTCTCCCAGCGAGACCAATGGCAGCATGAAGGATGGCATCAAGCCGCACTTTCTGGCAAGCTCTGCTTCCCCGTCTTCCCCTTCTTCCCCTTCTCCGCCCATTCCCCTTCTTAGACCAATGGGGGCAGGAAGGCAGTGATCGTGCTCCATCCTGGGCGTGGTCTGCTTCGAGGCTGGGAGGAGGATTGCGGGTTCTCTCCACCACCCTCTTCTGACCCCTCCCTCCCCTGTTATCCCTCTCTCCCCACCTACCCCTCCCTCCCCTCTTACCCCTCCCTCCCCCTCCTACCCCTCCCTCCGCCCTTACCCCTCCCTTTCCTTGTACCCACCCCTCCCCTCTTACCCCTACATCCCCTCCTATCCCTCCCTCCCCGCTTATCCCCCTCCCTCAGACCAACGGTGGCAGGAAGGCAGTGATAGTGCCGCACTCCATGGGCGTGCTCTACTTCCTCTTCTTCATGAAGTGGGTCGAGGCACCCGCACCGCTGGGAGGAGGAGGGGGGTCGCGATGGGTGCACGACCACATCCGAGCAGTCTTCAACATCGGAGGGCCTCTGCTGGGGGCTCCTAAGGCGTTCACCGGGCTATTTTCTGCTGAAGCGAAGGACGTGGCTGCTATCAGGTGAGCAAACTAGAGGCAACACCACCGTAAGGTTGGTGTGGCGGGGGCCCGTGATGGGTGCACGACCACATCTGAGCAGTCTTCAACATCGGAGGGCCGCTGCTGGGGGCTCCCAAGGCGTTTACTAGGCTGTTTCTGCTGAAGCTAAGGTTGTGGCGGCTATCAGGTGAGCTTAAGGCGTGCAGGAGGAGGGGAAGCAAGATGGGTGCACGACCACATCCAGCAGTCCTCATTGCTGGCGGACCTTTGCTGGACGCCTCTACGGCATTCACTGAAAGCCAAGGGTGTGGCTGCTATCAGGTGAGGGGAGGGGAGTGCAGCAGCAGCGGTAGGAGGAGGAGAGGGGGCATGATAGGGGGATCGTCACATCTCCGGCAGCGGTCAACATGGTAGGGCCCCTCTCGGGCACCTATAAGCTGTCACTGGGCTGTTTTCTGGCAGAGGCCAAGGACGTGTGGCGATCAGGTGGGAGTGAGGCTGAGGGAGATGTGCGCACGGAGGGCATGCAGTCATGGGAGTGTGTGGGTCCCAGGTTTGTGTCTGTCTGAAGAGAGTGTCCGTAGTGCCTGCTTGTGCTGCAGCGCTTTTATTGTTGAAATGGTAGAACCCGCTCTCCTGCCCACCTCTCCATTGCACCTCCCTTTCTGAACCAGGGCTCTAGACCCAGGCTTGTTCGACAGCCTACAGGCTCTGCAGCATGTGATGCGCGTGTCGCGCACGTGGGACTCAACCATGAGCATGCTGCCCAAGGGGGGCGAGGTCGTGTGGGGCAACGCCACGTGGGCGCCTGAGGACTCCTTTAATTGCTCCAAGGCACGGAGCAAGCAGCAGCAGCAGCAGCAGCAGCAGCAAGGGGTTGCAGGGAGTGGTAATGGGTCGCAGCCCGGGGGGGGTGGCAGTCTGAGGGACAGGGTAGCGAAGGGGCTTGGGGTTGAGAGCCTTCTTCCCGCCGTTGTTGCTGAGAAGCCTACTTCCGGTGCTTGGTCCTCCTCTGCTCATCTCCACGAGGGCGGCATGTCGAGTGGGAGTGGCAGTGGGGAGGATGAGGGCAAGCCCAAGAGGAGCCACGACCTTGAAACGAGTCAACGGCGGGCGTGGTTTGGACGAATGGTGAGGCGCGGAATAGGAATCGATGAAACACATGGCATGAGTGTTGAGCGGTGTTGAGATCGTGGAACATGCCTCTTTTCACCTCATGTGATTACTCTTCCACCAACCCGTGCTCTCCTCTTCTCTCAACCCCTTCTCTCTTTTCTTCCTCGCCCTCTTCATTGAGTTCTCTCCTCTTCATTGAGTTCTCTCCTCTTCATTGAGTTCTCTCCTCTGAGAGCACTGATGCTTCGTAGGCTGCTGGCGTGGTCCTTCCTGAGTCTCTCTGCCTGGCAACTCTGTTTCTCATTGAGTGCCATAAAATCTGTCAGCTGTCAATAGGTTTCTGAAGCCTCACAGCTCTCACGACTCTGTTACTGCTGGCAGAGATCTACTGTCAGCTGGCGGATTTTACGGCACTCAATGAGAAACAGAGTTGCGAGGGACGTAAGGTAGTCGACTCAAGTGGACCATGCGAGGCAGCCTATGTAGCACCAGTGTTGCAGGGCAGGCAGTTGCCTGAATCCTTCAGATAGCTGGAGAGCCTCGTTGTGTGGACATGCTCTGCCTCCTGCATCTTGCCCCTCCACCATCCACCTTGCCCCTCCACCATCCACCTTGCCCCTTCACCATCTCCCTCTCCCTCCCCCCCCCCACCTCCCCACCCCTCGTACCTGTCATTCCCTTCTGTTGTATAGCTGTCATTTGCAGCCATCTCAGCCGCACTGGTAGAATCCCTGGTGTGCCCCTTAGGCGTGTAGGCAGCAGCCATGGCAGCAGTGGCGACCTGTCCTGCCTCCTCCACGTGCCTTGCGTCGTCGCCCGCTTACGTGCCTCTCCCTCCCCTCCGTTTCTCCCCTCTCCAGGTGTCCTTCGGTGTATCCTCAGCCACTCTGTCAGAATCCCTCGTCTGCCCTTCAGGCGCCAAGGCAGCAGCAAGGGCAGCAGCAGCGACCTGCCCTGCCTCCTCCACCTGCCCGGCCACATGGGGCGGGCAGCAGTACATTCTCTCTGACCCCTGCAGCTGTGCTATGAAGGATCTGCTGCCTGATGTAGATGACGATTCCAGTGACGAGTCTGCTTATGAAGGGACGGTGGATGTGGGAGGAGGGAAGGAGGAAGGATCTGAGGGGAAGGGGGAAGGATCTGAGGGGAAGGGGGAAGGATCTGAGGGGAAGGGGGAAGGATCTGAGGGGAAGGGGGAAGGATCTGAGGGGAAGGGGGAAGGATCTGAGGGGAAGGGGGAGAAGGAAGCGATGGAAGGGAAGGAAGGGAAGGCGACTGAGAGGGAGAGTCGTAGGGAGCACTGGCAGCGGCGGTTGGAGGAAACGGTCTTCCAGCACTTGCAGTCCCGCAACAAGTCGTGTGGGGACGTGTGGACGGAGTACCACGACATGAGCTGGCACGCGCTCAAGGACATCGCAAACTGCCCCTTCTACACCGCGGGGGATGAGAGCGATGGGCCGTCGGGGGGCATTCTGGGGCTGCTGAGGCAGGTGGCGCCCAAGACCATGGCGCGGGCGGATGAGAACTGGAGCTATGGGATCGCGGAGGACCTGAGTGAGAGCAAGTACCTGCGGGAGCCGAAATACTGGGCGAATCCCTTGGAGACCAGGTGTGTGTGTGGTTAGGGTTGCTTAGCTATGAAGGTGCAGCGGCAGAAGGTGTTCGGCAGGTGGCATCCCAGAGGGTGGCACGGGCCGGTGAGAACTGGAGCTATGGGATTGCAGAGGGTTTGAAAGAGAGCAAATGCTAGCAGCAGCCGAAGTTCTGGGCCAGTTTATTGGAGACCACATGCTTTGTTGCGGTCAGTGTGGTGAGTGGGTTGCATGGCAAAGGTATTGCGGCAAGGGAACCAACGGCGATGGCACACCTCCGCCTAGACATGGGCAAAAAAAATCGCATCGCATCGCATCGCATCGCATTTAATCGCGTTTTTGCGATGGCGATGTTTTTTTTTTTTTTTTTAAATCATCGCGCGATGCGATGAATTAATATCGCGCGATTTAATTTAAATCGCATTTTAATCGCGCATAAAAAACGCGATTTAAATGCGATATGCGATTTTTAAAAAATCGCGCGCGATATTGCACTGAAACCCACTCTGAAACCCACTACGAAACCACACTGGTTATTTGCACTCTAGCTTACGACTGCCCGTGAGTCAATCCCCCCGCAGCCATGGTTTTTTTCTGTTTTTTTGGGGTGTTTTTTTAATTCTGTTTTAAAACGCGATGCGATTTAAAATCGCATTTTGCGATTTAATTAAATATCGCATGCGATTTATTAATACATCGCAGGTAAAATGCGATGTGCGATTTTTTTTTTTTGGAAAAATAAATCGCGCGATGCGATTTAAAATCGCATCGCTTTTTTAAACATCGCACCTGCATGCGATGCGATTTAAATCGCAATCGCGTTTTGATCATGTCTACCTCCGCCCCCCCCTGTTGCAGCCTGCCTTATGCCCCTGACTTGAAACAAAGAAAGGGTGCGTTCGGATTGCCATTTGATTACATCCACATCATGAAAGAATTCATCTGGTTAACTATGTAACTGTCATGAGATCAAATGAGCAATTGAGCTAGCATATACAATAGTTTAGTCAGCTGAATCTCTTTCACCATCCCCCCTCACATCCCTCCCCGTTCCCCCCTCCTTTCTCCCCTTCCCCCACCTCTTCCCCCCAATCCAGCCTGCCCCATGCGCCGGACATGGAGATCTTCTGTGCGTACGGCACAGGGCTGTTGACAGAGCGGGCGTACGTGTACCGCCTGTCGCCCTCCAACGACACCTGCCTCATCCCCTTCCGCATCGACACCTCTGCCAATGGGCCTCCGGGGCAGGTGGGTTGGAGTATGGGTGTTTAACATGTAGGGAGTGGTTGGCAGCTGCAGGAACAATTGTGAAGTGTCGTTGTGCAATGCTTCGCACCATTTAGAAGCCAGTGTTGATATGGACCACAAGACAGCATCCTTCATTTCGCCGTCCAAGCACATCTGGAAGCTTACGTTTCTTGCCCTCTTTTTCCCTTCCTACCCACTCTCTCTCCCTTCTCCCCCTCCCTTCTCCCCCTCCTGACTCCCCACGCTCCCCTTACACCTGTCTCGACTCTTTAGGCCTGAGACCGTCCTGAAACAGCACCGGTGCTCTCCATGGGCCTGCCCTGCGCCAAGCTGTGGCGTGGGAAGCCCTCAAAGTACCAACAAAAGCATACCCAGCTCCCATACCATCCTCTCCTTCCTCATCTTCTCCCCCTTCTCTCCTCCTCTCTCTTTCTTCCCTCCCCACTCCACTGCGTGTCCCATCTCTCCAGGCAGGGGACTGCCTGTGGGAGGGAGCCTACTTCACGGATGGGGACGAAACCGCCCCGGTTCTTTCCATGGGCCTGCCGTGCGCGAAGCTGTGGCGTGGGCGGACACGCTTCAACCCCTCGGGCTCTCGTGCTTTCCTGCGAGAGTACGAGCACCGGCCCAGCACAGGGCTGCTGGCAGGGAGGAGCACGCAGAGCGGCAGCCATGTGGACATCATGGGGAACTTTGCGCTGATTGAGGATATTCTGCGTGTTGCTGCTGGTGCTACGGGGGCGGAGATTGGAGGGGATCAGATTTATTCGGATATATTGCATTGGGCAGAAAGGGTTAATATAAAACTACAATGATGACATCGCTTATTGTTTGATATCGTTACTTGTACCTACCTGTCACATTATGTTTTATATAATATGTTTGTGTAGGCTTGGTACAATTACCGGATCCTACTGTAGAGGGTACAACACCCTTCTTGTATGCCTCTCTTCCAGTCCAACCCCTCTTTCCTCTCACCAACTTTTCCTAGCACCTAATATCAAATTGAGAGAAGTGAATAATAGGTAGAGGGAGAGTACAGCTAGATATACCTAAGTATTGTACCCTCTAAGAGGTGACCCTATACAGTCTATGCAAACATAACAAATGCACATGTTTGACACACCCCCTAGACTGCACAGGGGAATGTCCTAAACAAGCAGCTCAGGGTGGCACTACTAGTCCAACCTCTGAGACACGGGTCTAAGAGACCAGTCAGAAGGAGTACAGACAAGGCAAGAACAAGACCAGGGCGGCACTACTAGTCCAGCCACTGGGAGAGGACACAAGTCCAGTCTGAGTATACATATAAAGGACAGTACAAAGTCAAGGTCCTAGTAAGTGAGAGGCTACAGGAACTAGACCAAGCTGTACACAGTGCCGCTGATGATCTTTAGGCGCAAGCGCCTTCGTAAAGATATCAGCTGTGTTGGCACCTGAGGCCAAGTGTACTACGCGAGCCTGACGTCGCTGCTGTAGCTCACGCAGGAGGAAGTACCGCAGCTGAATGTGCTTCGCTCTGCCCTCGAGTCGAGGCTCCTGACACAGGAGGATCATGGCCCTGTTGTCAGCGAACAGGACCGGGGCAGAGCTAGGCCGCTCACCTAAGTCAGTGAGCAAGAAGGTCAGCCAGCGGAGCTCCTGTGCCGCCATGGCACCAGCGTAGATCTCAGCCTCACAGCTGGACTGGGCAACAGACGAGGAGCGGGTAGCTCTCCACGAGACGGCACCTGAGCCAAGGCTGAAGCAGTAGCCCTGGGTAGACCTGAGTGTCTCGGCGTCGTCTGCCCACGAAGCGTCTGTGTGTCCAGTAAGGACCACTGGCCCACGTCCTCCTAGCACTAACCCCATGCCCGATGTACTAGCAAGATAACGCAGAACCCTCTTAGCGGCAGACCAGTGCTGCGGTCGGTGTCTGCCTGTGGCCACAAAGCGAGCCAGGATGCTGAGAGGGTATGCGAGATCTGGGCGAGTGCAAGTCATCAGGTACATGAGGCAACCCACCAGCTCTGCGTAGGGGCCGCTGGGCTCTACCAACTCCTCAGACACTGGAGCGGAGAGTCTGTGGTCTACAGGCAGAGGGGTGGGATGTGCAGAGGAGAACTGGAGGCTGAACCTCTGAAGGACCTGGCGCACCAAGTGTGACTGAGTCAGGGTGATGGTGCGCGATGCACTGTCCCTGGAGATCTGCAAGCCAAGGTAGCGGCGCAGTTCTCCAAGGTCAGTGCACGTGTGTCTCTTCAGCAGCTCTGCTTTCACGGAGGCCAGTGCGTCCCTGTCTGCTGTGGCAAAGACCAGGTCGTCGACGTAAACAAGGATGTAGAACGGAGTGTGGCCAGCACGAACGAAGAGTGAGGGGTCTGCGGAAGAAGGAAAAAACTGCAGGTCAGCAAGCGTAGCACGGAGAGTGTCGTGCCACTCACGGGGAGCCTGGCGCAGGCCGTAGACGGGGCGCCGCAGGAGCCACTGGGTCCCAGGAGGGAAGGTGCCAGTAAAGCCCGGAGGGCGACGTAGGTAGACCTGCTCGTGTAGGCTGCCCTGAAGGAAGGCAGTGGAGAAGTCGAGGGAGTGAAGCTCGTAGTCACGCTGAGCAGCTAGGTGTAACAGAACCCGAAGAGTAGTCATCTTCGGGGTCGGGGTGAAGGTCTCGAAGATGTCCACCCCCTCACGCTGACTGAAGCCTCTAGCCACATAGCGCGCCTTGAACACAGGCGGCTCTCCAGGAGGGCGCTTCACCTTGAAGAGCCAGCGGCCATCGACTACGTTCACCCCAGGTGGGGGAACTGCGTCGACGAAGGTGCCGGTGGATCTCCAAGATGCCATCTCCTGCTCCATGGCAGCTATCCACTGGGAGGCCCAAGGTCCCGAGGTCGCCTCAGCGTAAGTGCGAGGGGTCGGGATATCGAAAGCGTCTGGGTCACCCTCAGGGACTAGCAGCATGGAACAGAGATGGGGAGCAGCCTCGGAGAGGAAAGCAAGCTCGAACTGGCGGTCCTCCAGGACGTCACTGCCAAGGGCAGGAGCACCCCCGACAGACGGAGGACAGGCAGGGTCAGAGACCAGAGCTGTGGCGTAGTCAAGGCGGCGGGTAGAGGCGAAGTCAGCGACTGCAGCGACAAGAGCGTCAAGGCACGAGACCGGAACAGACAAGTCGGTAACGAGAGAGGCAAGGACCCGAGGAACAAGAGGACGAGCGGCACGAAGGTAGTCAGACAGCGGGGGGGGTGCAACAACAAGGGAGGACGGAGGAGGCGACGGCAGAAGGGGAGGACGAGACGCGTGGGAACGAAGCAACATAGGGTGGGAGTGCAAGACAGGGGAGGCAGGACGAGCACGGGAGGGACGGTGAGACCAGACGTGCGACGGAGGAGTCGGGTCAGGAGACAGGGGAGGGGACACAGGAGGGGAACGAGGGGGGAGACGGGCCGGGGACGAGTCCGGCGGAGGGAAAACAGGGCCGTAGACGGGAAGAGGAGGAGACGGCTGGGGAGGAACAGACGCAGGGTCAGGGGACGGAAGGCCGAGCAGACGAAGGGCTGACATCGGCGGGGACTGCTGCTGCGGCGGCACAACGGCGACACCTGGACCGCAAGCTGCTCCTCGGCTACCACCGGCACACTCCACACCAGCACCCCCAGAGGGACCACCCCCAGGGCGACCGGGACGAGCACCCCCAGAGTCAGCGAACGGGTGCTGCGACGGTGGCGGCGGCGGCGGCGGCGGCGGCAGCAGCGACAACGACGGCTGCAGCAGCGGCAGAGGCGGTGTAAGATGGGACTGGGGAGGGGACGCCGGGGGAGGGGCGGCCGGCAAGGACTGCGCAGGAGGGCCACCAGAGTCAGAAGACTCCTCAACCGGGTCCTCCGACGGAAGGGGGGTGACGTGGGACACACCAGAGGGGGCAGGACGGGGAGGAGGAGGAGGAGGGGAAGGGACTACTTGGGAAGGAGTGACCAGGAACAGGGGGGGGTAACCGGGGGACCACGGTGGGGGAAGCGATGGTAGTAGGAGGCGGACTCGTCAAATGTGACGTCGCGAGAGTGAAAGAAGCGGTGAGACGGCGGGTGGTAAAAGTGCCAGTCGGACGCGTCAAGGGGAAAACCGAGGAAGACGCAGGGAAGGGTGCGGGCAGTGAGCTTGTCCGTGCCAGAGGCACGGACGTGAGCAAGGCAGCCCCAGACGTGGAACGCCGACGCGTCACCAGGAGACCCAGTCCAAAGACGGGTCGGCGAAACCTGCGGCTGCTGGGGGTGCGGCCACAGGTTAAGCTGGTGAGCGGCGTAGCGAACGGCGAACGGCCACAGAAAATGGGGTGCACCGGCATGGATCATGGAGGTGCGAGCCACCTCCATGACCAAACCGATGCGTTGCTCAGCGACCCCATTCTGCTGTGGGGAGTCCGGTAGGGTGAACGTCTGGGTGATGCCCTCCGCACGACAAAAGCGACCAAGGACACCGGAGGCAAACTCGCCACCACGGTCGGAGTGAAGACGCAAGACAGGGAGTCCTCAGTGGACACGGGCAGAGACAAGCCAGGGGATGAGGGCGTCAGGCACGTCGGCCTTCCGCTCCAGGGGAAAGACCGAGGTGTAGCGAGTGAAGTCGTCGACAAGCACAAGGAAGTAGCGCTCTCGACGCGGCCCATGGACGGGGGCGGGGCCCCAGACGTCCATGTGCAGGGTCTGCAGCGGCGCGGCGGTAGGGGGAAAGGAGGAGGAGTGAGGGGCACGGCGAAGCCGACCCTCGACGCAAGGCGTGCAAGGTGGTGCTGGGGAGGAGGGAAAAGCGGGGAGAGAACCAGGGAGACCAAGGACGAGACCGTGCTGGGACATGTGACGCAGACGCGGGAGCGCAGGGTGACCTAGGCGGTGGTGCCAAAGGAGAGTCGGGTAAGTGAGGGACCGACAGGAGCAGGCAGCAGCAACCTGGGTAGACGCAGCCACCTGAGGGGGCACCCCAGCCGGGGGGGTCACGGTGTCCAGAGTGAACAGGCCGGACACCGGGTCCCGGGGGAACGAGGACAGGGGGGCACCAGTGGCGGCCTCGGTACAGACAGCATACCGCTCGTGTCCAGGGAACGTAGTGGTGACGCCAAGGTCCTGGAGGCAGCCGACACCAACTAGGTTCCTGGAGAACGAGGGGATATGCAGACCTGTGAGAGAGCCCGAGGGAACCGCCGGACAGGGAAGGGTGGTGGAACTGCGGGCAAGTACCGGTCCGCCAGAGAGGTCAGCAAGAGAAACTGCAGCAGGAACAGGAAGCGGCGTCAGCGTAGTGGAGTCGCGGAAGAAACACCGGGAAGTTCCAGAGTCCAAGGTGAAGGAAAGCGCAGCAGTGGCGGCTGGCTGCGGGGAAGCGGCGGAAGCACCTAGGCTAAACAAAGCAGGAGATCCTACGCCTGACGCAGCAGGGGAGTCTAAGCTAGGCACACCTACACTAGGCAACAAGGGGTAATAAGGGGGAAGCACACTAGAGTCATCAGCATACATCACATGCAGAGCAGAAACAATGGCATCCATATCCATTTCAAAAATCTGAATACTACGCCTAAGCAAACTGTGCCAGTCCGGGAAGTCGGGCCACGGACCGAAACGCTGACGGAACAGGTCGTCCAGGCGACAAAAACAGCGAGGAGTGGAGTGATCGATCTTACCGCAAACGAAGCCGCGGCGAGGACCGGTCTGGATCTGGTACTGACAACGCACGCCTCCCGAACCACCACTCGGCACCCCACCACGCGCCCGACCACCGCCAGCGCCAGGCCACCCGGGCGGGAGGACACTCGCCTGCCTCGTCTGCGGCGGCTGCTGCGGAGGCTGCGGCTGCTGCGACTGCTGCGACTGCTGCAGCTGCTGCTGCTGCTGCGGTGACTGTAGAGGCGGCGGCTCAGCTGTACTGGGCAGGGTCCCCTCGTCCGCTCCAGCACCAGACGACCCGACCCCACCACCACTCCCTCCCGCACC